CAATTTTATTAAAGTTTTTATAAATAATTACATTTTTTTGAAGAATTTTATTTAATTTCGTAAAAATAATTTAATTTTTTAAAGTAATATTAATTGAAAATTTTGAAACATATTGAAATTTACAAAGATTTTTATTGAAACTTTTGAAATTAATTAAATTGAATTTTTTTCAAGAATTTTATTAAAACTTTTAATAATAATTGAATTCTTTAGAAGAATTGAATTGAATTTCAGCGAGGAATTTTGCTATTTATAAAAACAATTGAAAATTTGCGAAGAATAATAATATTTTTGAAAATAATTGAATTTCGGGGAAGAATTTTATTATTTATAAAGATAATCGAAATTTTTGCGAGAATTGAAATAAAATTTTGAAAATAATTGAATTCTTGCAAACAAAAATTATTACTTTAGAAAATAATTGAATTTCTGTAAAGAATTCTGTTATTTATGAAGATAATTGAATTCTTATCAAGAACTTTATTTGTAAGTTTTGAAAATAATTGAATTTATGCGAAGAATTTCGTTATTTTTAAAGATAATTGAATTCTTGGCAATTGTTTTATTCACATATTTGAAAATAATTGAATTTTTTCTGGAAATTTTATTGAAATTCTATTTACAAAATTAAATTTCTTCAAACAATTTTTTTTTTTTATAAAAAATATTCAATTCTTGCAAAGATTTTTGTTAAAATTATTAGAGATTAAAAATAATTGAAATATTTTGAAGAATTTTATTAAAATCTTTGAAAATAATTGAATTCTTTAGAGGAATTTTATTAAAATTTTTGAAAATAATTGATTTTTTGATAAAAAATCTTTTTATATTTAAAAAATAATTGAATGTATGGAAATAATTTTGTTATTTATCAAGATAATTGAATTTTTTCAAAGAATTGGGTTAAAATTTTTGAAAATAATTGAATTTTGAAAAAAAAAATTTATTAAAATCTTTGAAAATAATTGAATTTTTTAGGGGAATTTTATTAAGATTTTTGAAAATAATTGAATTTTTGATAAAAATTGAAGAATTTTGTTATTTATAAACATAATTGAATTCTTGTCAAGAACTGTATTAAAATTTTGAAAATAATTGAATTTCTGCGAAGAAATTTGTTATTTTTGAAAATAATTCAATTCTTGACGAAAATTTCCTAAAAGATTACGAAAATAAATGAATTTTTAAAAAAAGTTTCATTACTTTTGTAAATAAATGAAATCTTGTCATCGCTATTGATAATTATAAAGATAATTGAATTTTGCAAAGAATTTTATTTAAATTGCTGAAAATAATTGAATTCTTTAGAGGAATTTTATTAAAAAATTTTTTGAAAATAATTGAAATTTTGACAAGAATTTTTTATCAGAATTGTTGAAAATAATTGAATTTAAGTAATATTTTTCAAAATAATTGTATTATTTCGAGAAATTTTATTAAAATTCAATTGAAAATAATTGAATTCCTCCGAAACATTTTATTATTTATGCAAATAATTGAATTCCTTTGTAGAATTTTATTATTTATGAAAATAATTTAATTCTTGGGAAAAATTTTCTTATTTATAAAATAATATAGGGAAACTTTTTTTTGCTTATTCCGATAATTGAAAATAGTCGAAAAAACTCGAAAGAATAATATTTTCATCATTTTTAGAAAGAACGAAAAAAATAATGCACCGCAAAGTGCATGCTTGTTTTTAAAAAGGGTTTGTATTTTTGTAATTTGCATATCAGTGGAAGTAGAAAAAAATATCGGGAGTAAATAAACAAGAAAGGTCCATCGTTTTGCAAATAACTGTCTATCCACCCACGAATTCTATTCACGATGAGGTTTTAAAATGCAAAGTACATCGAACGAAGGCAGCCTTCGAGTTCTATACCCCTCATTGCACTTTGAATACCAATTCCTCTTAGAGAAAAAACTAAAGAGTAAAAACGAAATCTCACAATGTCAATACTGCATTATATATGTCTCGTTAGAATTTTTCAATAACTTTTGCATTTTTAATGAACGTTTTCCGATTTGCAAGCGACGATAGCTTTTAATCTTTTCATCAAAGAACACTTGCGAATAAAATGTTCAAATCTAAAATACATATAAAGTAATATTAAAAATAAAAAAATAAAAAATATTAAATGAATTTAAATACAAATTCGTCGGTCGACGCTAAGCTCAGAGTCGACGACGCTAAATTCAGGAACACGGAAAGTTTACCAACTTCAGGGACTTGAATTTTTTTTTTTAAATTAAATTAAATTTCTAACAAAATATATAAATATGTATTATAACAATACACAATTGTTACACAGTGGAAAAGACTAATAGAATACTAATTAAGTTTCTACATTATTAAACTATTAAATATCTACATTGGAAGACTGCGGTAATAATAATAGACTTTAGTACTTAATAATTAGAAAATTTTAAACATGCAAGTGCGTAATTATTTACGATTAAAGTTTACAAGGTTGAAAATAATTTGCAAAACACAAATATATTTATTATTTAATTACACAGCGCTTTTTTTGTATTATTTATATAATTTTAGCGTTCACGCTAATTTAAGCTTTGTAAAAGTATTTTTCTAAAATACCAAAATGCCAAAATTAATTAATAAATGAAACAAAAATCATCAGTTAAACTATCTTTAAAAAATTTTAACTTAAATTTATTTTTGCGTCAATTCATATTAGAAAATACTACCAGAATTCAATTATTTAAATAAAAATATAATAATTTATTGAATAATTGAATATTTCTTGCAATTGAATTTTGATACGGAATTTCAAAATTTTTTTAAATAATGAAATTCTTTCCAAGGGATTCATAAAATTTTTTTTAAATAATTGAATTTTTTCTAAAAATTTTATAACTTTAGAAAAAAATAATTAAATTCTTACAAAATCTTACAAAAATAATTGAATTTTTACGACATATTTTATTAAAATTTTTTATAATTGAATTTCTGCGCAGAATTGAAAATAATTGAATTATTTATAAAAAATTTTACCGCAATGATTAGAAATTGATTTTAACGAATTGCATTTTTTGACGAATTCATTTAAAATTGTATTAAAAATAATTCAATTCCTGAGAAGAATTATTTTATTTATAAAAATAATTTCAATTTCTGCAGAAAAACTTTGTTATTTATAAAAATAATTGAAGTTTTGAGAAAAATTTTTTATCTTACAAAAATAATTGAATTTTTGCGACAAATATTATTAAAATATTTTATAATTGAATTTCTGCGCAGAATTATATTAAAATTCTTGAAAATAATTTAATACTTTAAAGGAATATTTAGTTCAAATTGTTCTGAAAATAATTTAATTGTTTAATAAAGAATTTTAAAAAAATTTTTAAAAATAATTAAATTCTTTCCTGGAATTTCAATAAATTTTTTTAAAAATAATTGAATCTATTTACGAAATTTTATTTAAATTGTATTTACAATAATTAAAGTTCTAATTAATAATTTTTATAAAATTTTTGAATATAATTTAATTGTTGCAAAGAATTTTATTATTAATACAAATAATTGAATTCTGACAAGGAGTTTTAATAAAATTTTTAAAAATAATTAAATTCTAGCTAAAGATTTAAAGTAAAATTTTTGAAAATAATTTAATTGCTCCAAAGAATTTTATTATTAATAAAGATAATTGAATTCTTAAGAAGTATTTTATTATTTATAAAAAATAATTGAATGTCAGCGAAGAATTTTATTATACTTTTTTAAATAATTGATTTCCCATGAGAAATTTAATTATTTATCAAAATAATTGAATTCTTGAAAGAATTTTCTTGTCAAGAACTTTATTAAAAGTTTTGAAAATAATTGAATTTCTGCGACAAATCTTCTTATTTTTGAAAATAATTGAATTCTTGACAAGAATTTTATAAAAATTTTTTAAATAATTGAAATTCTACTAGCAATAGTGATTTTTGAAAATAATTGAATTCTTGAGAAGAATTTTATAAAAATTTTTAAAATAATTGAAATTCTACTCAAAATGGTCATTTTTATAAATAATTGAATTCTTGCCAAGAATTTTATAAAAAATTGTTAAAACTAATTAAATTTCTGCAAAGAATTTCTTGAAAATTTTTGAAGATAAATTAAATTTTTGCGAAAAAGTTTGTTATTTTTGAAAATAATTGAATTTTAGCAAAAAATTTTGTTAATTTTAAAATTAATTTAATTTTCCCGAAAAATTTGTCATTTATAATGAGAATTGAATTCTGTTCGAGAACTTTATTTGAAAGTTTTGAAAATAATTGAATTTCTGGGAAGAATTTTTTTACTTATGAAGATAATTGAATTATTGCAACGTATTTTACTAAAAGTTTAAAAAAATAATTGAATTCCTGAGGAGAATTTAATTTTTTTATTAAAATAATTGAATTCTTGAGAAGAACTTACAAAAATTTTTTAAATATTTAAAATCTCGTGAAATATTTTACTATTTGTGGAAATAATTGAATTCTCAGAAAGAATTTCATTAAATTTTTGTTAAATAATTGATTTTTTCGAAATATTTTTTGAAATGTGAAGAAATAGCTTCTTGACGCTCAGCGTCGATGCTAAATTCGAAAACCTTAAAAAAAACTAGAAGCATTTTGAAGTAAAGACAGTTTTACTAATTGTATAGTAAAAATTGTACTTAAAAATTGTACATTCTACTAAAGTAAATTTAAAATAAAAATAAAAATTACGAATTCACATAAAGGACATGTCATCGACCTCGAGAGAAGTATAATTCAAGATCAAGATCAGGAGAACTGGTCCAGAGAAGTACTCGAATAATTTATTTCCTTTATGTACGCACACACAATTTTCAGGGAGCAAGTTTGACGTGTGTGGGATTAGCATTACAAGATTATGGTATTTTACACAAATAGTAACGGCAATGTCACTGCGATCGATGATTGCTAATCGAAAACCGGTCGCTGTAGATCATTCCCCCAGAGAAGGATCCACACCTCTTCCTTCCCCTTTTTCACAAACACTTTTGCTACTCAAAAAGTCAAACGCGCGTTGCAGAATCAAGTGAAACCTCGCTCCAAACGCATCAACCTCGCTCTCTTCCTCCCATTCGCCGACAATTTTCCTCTATTTCCTCAATTTTGCCCGGATAAATAGGTAAACTCATTTTTTTTCTTTCTCAGAACCAAAGAGCCTCTCAAAACCGAAAAGTTTCTCAAAAACCAAAAATTTATTTAAAACCAAAGAATTAAAAATTTGTTATTATCATCATTCGAAATTAGGTCCAAATTTTGAAGTAAGAAAATAATCGGATTTTTATTAATAGACAGTAAACAATCCACAAAAATTTATTACGAAACTAAAAATTCATTATTTAATTATTATTACTAATTATTAAAATTAGGTGCAAAATATTCTAGAATAGGTGCTGAGTAAAACGGAATAAATTTATTTTTGTAGTGAAGAAGCATTTCTGATTTTTCTTTTTGTAGTGAAGAAGCATTTTTGATTTTTGTTTCCCGAGCGAAGAAGCAGTTTTGATTTTCGATTTTGTATAGTGAAGAAGCATTTTTGATTTTTGTTCTCCTAGCAAAGAAGAATTTTTGATTTTCAATTTTGTACAGTGAAGAAGCATTTCTGATTTTCGACTTTCTTTTTGTGGGTAACAATTGTGCAATAATTAATACTATTAATAATAATATTAATAATATAATAAATACCGATTGTGCAACATTTTTCCTTTAAGTTTCTAAACAAACAATTAAAAAACCTATGCTTTAAAAATTTGGTGGAAAAAAGTAACAAATCCGTTGCAGAAAGTTACGGATTATGTAGTTACAGATAACAAAGAATTAGATCATCAGTATCACAACAATAATAATCAGAAACTTAATTTTATGCTACTATCGAGACCTCTGATAAGAAGCAATGTTGAATCACCGATTGCAAAATGATAATTAATGTCAATATTAATTTATCAATTAGTTTTGTAATTTATTTTCAAGTAACCATCATCCATTTATCAAATGTGAGGCAAACATTAATGACGCTAATTTGTATTCAGTTTTAGAATGACCTGGTCTGCCGGGAAGCTCTCCGTTTCCCTTCTCCTACTGTTTGCAGCATTTGTTACAACATGTTCTGGTGAGTTATTTTTAGAAACAAACAATTTTTTTTGACACTTGTTGTCCAATTTTGGCTCCAAAAATTGCTACTGCTTCTTCTTCTGTTTCTGCTTTTGATTCTGTTTCTGTTTCTATTTCTACTTCTGCTTTTGATTCTGTTTTTGCTTCTGCTTTTGATTCTGTTTCTGTTTCTGCTTTTGATTCTGTTTCTGTTAATGTTTCTGATTTTCTACAAAAAATAGATTGTAGACATAATGTGCTTTTGAGAAATCAGGCCAAATTCTAGTCACCTCCAAAAAGATTGAAAAGATTGTTTATTAGTTGTTGTTGTTGGTCCAACAAACAACAATCTGACACTTTTTGTGTCAAACAGCCACAAAAAGTGTGAATACTATCATCGAATTGAATTAGTTAACAACTTTCATCCAATGAAACAAAAGCATCCAAACTTTTCGAGAGCGAAACAACATCCGTTCAATCTTTTTGATAGTACCCATACAGCACCCTAACTTTTCCAAAAATTTATTAAAGATTTACTTACAAACTTCCGAGTATTTACTTGCAAAGTTTAGTGAAAATCGTGTAAAGATTTAAATGTCCCACTTCAATAAATGTTTAGCATGAAGCTTGCAAGTGCAACTTGCAACTTGCTTTAAAAATTTTTTAGAAAAGTTTAGGTGCTGTTTGGTTGTTTTTGTCCCACACCTAAGACAAAAGACCATTCAACCAAAAGAAATAATCTTTTCTGATGTAAAGTTGGTACAAGAACCTGACTAGTCGAAGCTAAAAATTAAAGAAACAGAACAAGAAGATTGGACTATAATTTTTAATCCTATATAGTGTCGAAAGAATTGCGAATTTTGAGTTAAGAATGAATGAAGATAATTCGAATTAAAGAAGAATTTTGAAGTAAGAATTGAATTAAGAATTGTGCGAATTAAAAAAAAATTTTTTAAACAGGTGAAGCCAGCAAAGAATCAAGAGTGGTTTGCTACTTCAGCAACTGGGCAATCTACAGACCGGGAATCGGCAGTTATGGAATTGATGACATTCCAGGAGAGTTGTGCACTCATGTGATTTATTCCTTCATTGGTGTCAGCAATGTAACCTGGGAAATTCTAGTCCTCGACGAGGATATCGACGTCGACAAAAGTGGATTCAGAAACTTTACGAATCTTAAACACAAATATCCCAATTTAAAGACGGAAGTTGCCGTTGGCGGATGGGGTGAGGGTGGAAGAAAATACAGCAATCTCGTTGGAGTGAAAGCGAGGCGGGACACATTTATCCGAAGTGTCGTCGGTGAGAATTCTAGTGCATTAGAAAAATTTTTGAATAACCGAAAACTGTAATAAAATTTGAAAACTTTAGTTAAGCTTATGCTTTAGCATAAACTTAACTAAAGTTTTCAAATTTTGCTAGAGCATAAACTTAAGTAAAATTTTTAAATTTTGTTAGAGCATAAACTTAACTAAAGTTTTACAATTTAGTTTGTATTTAGTGTATAGGAAATTTTTGGAACATTTTCAGAATTTATGAACCGATACAACTTTGATGGTTTCGATTTGGATTGGGAGTATCCGGCGGCTGCCGATCGAGGTGGAAAATTCTCGGATAAGGATAATTTCTTCTTTTTCGTTGAGGAATTGAGAAGAGCCTTTGATAAGGAGGGAAAAGGATGGGAGATCACAATGGCAGTGCCTCTGGCGAAATTCCGTCTTCAAGAAGGTTATCACGTTCCAGAAATTTGCGAGTAAGTTTCCGATCTTTATACCCGGAAAGAACTTCAATTCAAAAATTTAGCAAACAGTTTATCAAAACTTCTGTTTTCTGTAAAAATTTACAACTAATATTCTCCAGTAGTCATCGAATAGCCCGGACCTAATAATGTTAGGTTAATAATGTTAGGTTACTTTCGAATGTTTCTAATTAATTTTCGAAATTTTATAAGCTATTTTCTACGAGAACAATTTGATTTGCAGAAATGTCGACGCGATTCACGTGATGTCCTACGATCTTCGAGGAAATTGGGCTGGTTTCGCGGACGTGCACAGTCCTCTCTACAAGAGGCCGAGTGATCAGTGGGCCTATGAGAAACTGAACGTGGCAAGTAGTTTGTGAATTTTTCAAAAACTATTCAAATCTATGAGAGAAAAGTTTGTAAGTTTGTTAACAGATCTGATGAATAATTTGAACTCTTTTTGCAGCATGATGGTCTTTTGCTGTGGGAGGACATGGGATGTCCGGCAAACAAATTAGTGGTTGGGGTTCCATTTTATGGCCGAACTTTCACACTGAGTGCTGGTAACAAAAACTACGAAATCGGAACTTATATTAATAAAGAAGCTGGTGGAGGGGCTCCTGGAAAATACACCCAGGCCAAAGGATTTCTCTCCTATTACGAGGTGGGTACTGAAATACTGTTGAGGGTGTCAAAAAATGTGTTCGAGTTTGGAGCATTAGGTTCAGCATTAATTTTGGGTTAATTCAGCATTACTTTAGGATTAGTTTAGCATTACTTTAGCATTGATTCAGCATTACTTTATCCATCCTAGATCTGCACAGAAGTCAATGATCCCGAGTCTGGGTGGACAAAGAGATGGGATTCCGTAGGAAAAGTTCCTTTCGCCTACAAAGGTAACAAGTATTTCTGTATTCTTCTTTCTTTGTACGGTTTATGAAGTTAAAACTGTCACCCAGTTATCAGCACTCAGTTAATTTTTGTCAAAATTTCCTGGTGGTTTTAATAAAAAAAGTAATCATAAATTTTTCTTTGCAGGTACCCAATGGGTGGGCTATGAAGATCCAGAGAGTGTTCAAATAAAAATGGACTTCATCAAGACAAAGGGCTATCTGGGTGCAATGATCTGGGCACTGGACATGGACGACTTCCAAGGAGTTTGTGGAAAGCCCAACACCTTGACGCAAATTCTACACGACAACATGAAGAGCTATCAAGTACCCCAACCAACTAAGGCACTTCCCTCAAGGGTAACTCTTCTCCTAGTTTACAAATACAATCAGAGACTTTCAAAAACAATTCATAAATACAATTTTCAAACACCGTTTTTCTAAGGATGTCAGATCGAGACAAAAAAGGTATCAAAATTCTTGCGATGCAAGGTTTGCACATCGCAACAATTTTTAATACCTTTTCTGTCTCCTTTTTGGGTCCAAGGATTTGACATCCTCAGAAAAACTGCAAATACAATTTACAAAAATACAAATTCTACTTTCAAAAAAAGAAAAACTGAACCAACTAGAAGACTAAAAGATAATTTAAGCCAAAAAGGAGTAATGGACGTAAACTAAAATTTACATTCCAAAGAAAAAGGAGAATATTGTTAGCGAATGTTAATTTGCGAGCTTTGAGAGAATGAATATATTTACATAAAGCGATAAAATTTATTCTCTTCTTTTTTTTGGGGGGGGAGGTGATTTTATTGACGACTGAGTTTGTTTGTTTGTTTAGCCTGAATGGTCGAGACCACCGAGTACAACTCCCGGTCCGGGATTCGTGAAGCCTTCGACGCCAAAACCGATAGTAACAAGACCCCAATCAACAACTCCATTAAGGGAAATTGAGGAAACAACTCCTCGACCAAGTTGGCCCGAGAAACCCGAGATACCTCCAACACCTATTGATGAAATTGATGAGGATTCCAATGAAATTAAATGTGGCGACCAGGACTATATGCCCTCCAAGGATTGCAGTTTAGTAAGTGAAAATCAATTTAAACTTCTTGGAGACAATTAATTTTGGGAAAAAAAGTAACTATTACTCTCTGAATTTAAATTAGTTAAAAATAACTTAGACTCAAGCATTACTTAATTGTGGTCGATTTCTACTTATTTCTTTCTTAAATTAATAGAAGTTGACGACTTTACGGATTATTTCATTCTTCAATTAATAGAAATTAACGACTCTACTTCTTATTTCTTTCTACTAAGGGAATTCCTGAAGTTAGTTAATTTTTAGTGTCGACACACTAAAAATTATTCTTTGAGGTTTGGCACTAATTTTATTTACTGATTTAAAATTTTGTTTACAGTACTACAGATGTGTGTATGGAAAGCCACTAAAGTTTCAATGTAGAGACGGACTGGTTTACAATCCTGAGAAATATATCTGTGATTGGGCTCATAATGTACATCGCGATGACTGTAAAATATAAAACTAAATCAAATTTTCAGTTTGAACGTAAAAAAAAAAAAAAATAGAATCTCTGGTCGAATATTGCAGAGAACGAAAGAGAGTGTGTGTGCTGATGAGAGAGGAAAAAAACTGCGAGTGAATATTGTTAAACTAGTTTTGAAAATCTGATTTTCTTTCTAGAAGAAAATGACTGAATGCGCTTTTATAAAAAATCATAAACTTTAAGAAAATTTCTATTTCATTTCGAAGTAGTTAAAAAAAGAAGAATGCAAAGATAAATTTTAAAAATTGAATCTTTGATATTAAAAATAAAATTTCATTATAAATATGATTATAGATAAAAAAGACAATTATTTATAATTCAGAAATGTTTTTTTAAATATGTAAATCAAAAAAAAAATCTTTCTTTTGGCGTTTCAACTTAGGAATAATTAGTCCTTAAGAAAAATTTTTAATTATTTTAATAAAATGCATTACCGACCTGACTTTTATTTTTATATATTCGTTTCCTCTGAATTAAATTTTTTTAAACTTATTTTGCAACATGAAAAGAACTTTTTCCCTTTAAAAACTCCTTTTCCTTTTTTAAAATTCACTAATTTCTTGAAACATTTAAATTTTCAAGTGGCGGTATTTAAAACTAAAAAATCAGTAAAAATTTTATAATTTAAAAAAAACACGTTTTTTCAAAATTTTTTGAACTAAAAAGACGATTATTTTTCAAAAAATTGAAATAAAATTGTGCAAAATAGAATAATTTCAATAAAGTTTGACGAAATTTACCATTTTTTGACAATTTTTCAATTATTTACTCTCTAGAGTTTAAATAACTTTAAAAAACAAAAAAAAAATTAGTATTACAATTTTTTAAAGAACTAAATTGTTTTGTATTTTCAATTGAAGTTAATAAAAATTCAAATCTTCACAAATTTTAATTTAAAACCTTTTGAAATTTAATTAGGTATTTTAAAAAATTTCTGCCACAACTGTTTTAATTTTCAATTATTTTCTAAAAAATTTATTATTTATTTTTCGAAAAACTGAATTGTTCAGAATATTGAAATTTTCAATTTAAAATTTTTATTTGAATATTTTTTATAAAATATTTTTTGCGAATTAAATTATTTTCAAAATTTGCAATTAAAATATTATTCAAAATTTAATTGTAAAAAATTTTAATATAAATTTTTAAAAAATCAACTATTTTTGATAAAATTTCACAAAATTATAATGATCTATAAACATTTTAATGATATACTTTGAAAATTCAATTATATTAGAAAAAAAATTAAAACAAAATTAAATTTCTAAAATTTATAAATATTTTTCATTTTGTCAAAAAATTGTCAAAAGTTTTCCATTGTCAAAAATCTACTTTTTTATTTTTTAGACTTTTAAATCAAATTATTTAAATTTCAATTACTTTGCAAATTTGTAAATAAAAAAATTTGTAAAATCAAAATTATTATTATTATTATTATTATTATTATTATTATTATCAATATTATTTTTTAATATCTAAACAAAAGTTCTTTAAAAATATTCAATTATTTTCAATCAATAATCAAATTTTAGAAAAATTCAATTTTGTTTTAATTTTTAAAATATTTTTTACAATTTTACGATTTTAAAATTTTACAATTTCTATTTTTATTTCAGACCTCAGATAAAATTACTTTTTTTTCCATTTTTTTCAATTATTTTCGACCATTTTTACAAAAATTGCGAAATTTTTCGAATTATTTTTTTAAAAAATTCGAATTTTTCGATTTTTCTTCCAAATATTGCAACAAAATAACAATTTTTAAGAGTAAAATCATCCAAATGTATTCGATCTTTACAAAAGTAAATGATAGATTCAATGAATTTCAAAAATTATAATAAAAGATTCTAAAAATTAGGTTTAAAAAAAATATAATTTTTTTTAATGTAATTTATATTTTAATTATAGAAATAGTTGAAAAATTTCCAAATAATTGAAATATTATAAAATTTTCTTGAAAATAATTGAATTGTTTCAAAGAAATTCTTTGTTAGATATTAAAAAATAATAAAGATTTTACAGATTTTTTCATTTAAAAATTTACAAAGTAATTGAATTTCAAGTGTAATTTTATTCAAAAATCTAAGAAATAAAAAACTAGATTTTTGACAATGGAAATTTTTCTAGACAAGATGAAAAATATTTAAAAATTCCTATACAAAAAAAAAATTTTTTAATCCAAAAATAAGTAGCCACCAAAAAAAAAAATGTCTGAATTAAACATATTTTATAATTGAATTAAACGTAATTGAATCAAAAACACAGTTGAATAAAAAATTATTATAATGTTTAATTGAAAAACAATTTTTTTTTACTGTATAACAAATAAAATTATATGCTTGATTCAAGTATATTTTTTTCTCAATGCAGTCATGAATATAAAATTTTCTTTTCTCTCTCTCTAATACCCTAATGACTCATTAACCCTAAAATTATTGAGCCATTCCAATTTTTTCCCAACGTCACTTGTTACTATTAATAAAATAAAAATCAATAACAATTATCTTTATCGATTAAGAAGAATAAATTTCCGCAGAAAATTTTAAATATTTAAAAAATCATCACCTCGGCACAATTCGGCAATCATCGTTGAATTTCGTGTCAGGCATGACGTCATTCTGCGCGACCGGAGTGTGTGTTGTGTCGTGAATGCAAAATGGTGTCGCGGCAATAATGTGATCGCAGTGCACACAAGTGTTGTCAATACAATTTTCAACCAAACACCCAATATTGTTTACAATCGAAAAAAAAAATTAAAATGCGGTTAACAATAATGGAGACTGCAGTGAGTTCTTCAATGTTACGCATCGCATTATTTAACCGGAATTAAAAAAAAAAAAAAAAATTCGAAAGGTAAGTACATTTTTGACAGATGAACGCGCCTATCTCTTCTCATTATTTGTTTTGTAATTAAATCTCACATTCACTTCATCGATGATTAATAGCAATTGAATATTGTCTCGAGAGATTCTTTGTCCAAATTGTCTTTTGTTTTATTATTCATCATTGATTCAAGTTCACTGAGGTTATTTGATTCGAATATATTTTTTTCAGTGTGTTAAAATCATAATAGTAATTATAATTTTTACTCTGGTTTGAAGTAGTTTGTTTCTTATATTTTTTTTTATTTTACTTTTTTTGTTTTTTGGTTTTTATTCAAATTTCGTGATTCGCGAGGTTAAGAAAGGAAAATATTATTTCAAAAAAGGGCGTAAAAAGTAAAAGGAATTCTTGACATTTGAAAGGGGTTAATGGCCTCGTAAAGTTAAGTCGAGTGACATTTTATGCATCTAATTAAAAATAGCAACTTTTGATTTTGTAAGTTGGAGAAATTCTGGAAAAAGAAATCTTTCTGGATTGAAATTTAATTTGTTAAATAAATTCATTTCTCAAAATATAAAAATTTATTCTTTTTTGCCTAATTATCTAATGTTTTACTCCAATTTTCTTTTTAGTGGGTTTTTAAAATTTGTTTCGTTAATCAACAGTTGTTTTTTTATTTTTATTTATATATTTATATTTTTTTATTAATATAAATTTTTATGTTTATAAAAAAGCCATCTTTTCTTTAAATTAAGTGGAAACTATTCTTACAATAAGAATATCAATCTTATTGTAAGAATATTTCCTACTTAGTTTATGTGGGGACACTTAATTTAAGTGGAGAATATTCTGGGCACCTATTTAAGTAGGAGCTTCTTAAAATTAGATTACCGTTTTTTTTTGTGTATTTGTTTGGATTTATAATTAACTTATTGAGAGTTTAGATTGTGATGAAGTAAGGAATAAGAAAAATATTTTGTTTGAGAAATTTAATAATAAAAAAAAAATGTTTGTTTCAGTGGATGAATCCATTTGAAAAATGGGTCGCAGTCGGAAATACGGCAACGATACGCTAGACGTATTAAATAAGGGATGCCTCGATTTGTACGACTCTATGGCCTGTGGCCGAATCAGCATTTTGGTTTTCATCAGCGCAATCACCTTTCTTCTGATTTTGCTAAAGCTCATAAAGTACCACAGATACAGACATTTACAAATGCATCATTATGCAATATTTTACGTCTCTGCCATTCAATGCATCCTCTGGTAATTTTTGTGATTTTATCTTCATTCTCTTTTATTTTTTCTTTATTCCATTTTTTATTCTTTTTTTTGTTTTTTTTTTATTCTGTTTTTTTGTTCTATTCTATTCCATTTTATATTCTACCTTTATTCTATTTCATGCCGTATTTTATTCTATTTTTTTTATTTAATTTTATTCTATTTTTTATTCAATTTTTTTATTCCATTTTATTTTATCTTTATTCCATTTTTTATTCTATTTCATGACAAATTTTATTCTATTTGTAAACTTTTCAATTCCGCAATTCATCTGCTTGTTAATTAAAAGGTCACATTCAGTTAATCTGAATTTCAATTTTTCCAAAATTTAAACAGTATAAATTTTAAATTTTAATTTATTTCCAATATCAACCGTTTGAAACTTAGACTTTAATTTTTTTTATTTATTACTGTATTTTAGAAACAATTTAACGAAATCAAATGAATTCTCAATTAATTAATTTTTTAAATTAAATTTTTTTTTTTTATTTTTTTTTTTTTTTAATGAATTATATTTTTATACACATTTTGAAACAAAATTCCTGTGAATTGTAATAATTTTTTTTTTGAAATTGTAACATATTCTTTATAAAAATCATGCAAGAAAAAAAATTATTTTAATTGCTTAAAAATTATAATTTATCATAATTTAAGGGCATTTGAACCTTGATGACGTTACAGATTGTGCAAAGCATGTGTGACGTCATCAAGGTTCAAATGCCCTTAATTGGTAAATTTTTTGTGAACAGAAAATAATTGAATTCCTGCGAAGAGTTTTGTTATTTATGAAGATAATTCAATTCTTGACAAGAATTTTATTAAAATTTTAATAAAAAGTAATTGAAGTTTTGCGAGAAGAATTTTATTAATATTTTTGATAATAATTGAATTTCTGCGGAGAATAATATTAAAATTCTTGAAAATAATTTTTAATTCTTTAATGGAATTTAGTTAAAAATTATATTAAAACTACTTAAATTGTTTATAAAAATTTTGTTATTGAAAGCTTTTGAAAATAATTGAATTCCTTCGAAGAATTTTATTTAAAAGTTTTTAAAAATAATTAAATTTTGTCGAGAAATTTTCCTTAAAATTGTATTGAAAATAATTGAATTCTTCCAAAAGAATTTTACTAAAAATAATGATAATAATTGTATTTCTATGAAGAATTTTGTATTTTTCGAAGCAAAATTGAATTTTTTACAAGAATATTGTAAAAATTTTTTGAAAAAAATAATTTAATTATAAGAAAAAATTTTGTAATTTATTAAAATAAAATTGAATTCTTGCCGAGAATTTTAATACAATTTTAAAAAGTAATTGAATTACAGCGAAGAATTTTATATATTAAAATAATTGAAATCTTGACAAGAATTTTAATTAAATAATTTGAAAATAATTGAATTTCTGTGCGATATTATTTTTTAATAAATAATTGCATTCAAATAATTGAAAAAGTACCTAATTGAATTAAAAATAATTGAATTTCTACGAAGAATTTGTTATTTATAAAAAAAATTGAATTCTTTATAAAGAAATTTTTCAAAATTTTTCAAAAAATAATTGAATTCCGTAGGAGAATTTTATTAAAAATTTTTAAAATAATTTAATTAAAATTGTATTGAAAATAAATGAATTCCTACGAAGAGTTTTGTTATCTATAAAAATAATTGAATTTCTGCAACGAATTTCATTGAAATTTTTAAAAATAATTGAATTTCTAACTATTATATTTTATTATTTATGAAAATAATTGAATTCATGTCAAGAACATTATAAAAATTATGGAAAATAATTGAATACCAGGGAAGAATTTTGTTATTTTTTAAAATAGTTAAATTCCAGTGAAAAATTTTTTTAGTTTTGAAAATAATTGAATTCCAGTGAAGAATATTGTTATTTTTAAAAATAATTGAATTCGAGTGAAGAATTTTGTTATTTTTGAAAATAATTTTTAAAAAAAAATTATTTTTGAAAATTTAAAAAAAAATTTGTTGAAAATAATAATTGAATTGTTTTAAAGTATTTTTTGTGAAATGTTTGAAAATTAAAAACATTAATTAGTTAATTGTATTCATAATTATAATAAATATAATTATTTTGTCACTTTCTTGTCACCTAGTTTTAGAAAATAATTAATTTTTCCCCTATTTTAAGGTGAAAAGATACTGTGCTCCCCTTTATTCTATTTTTATTTTATTACGTTGTAAATTGATAGGAAAATTTTGCAATTAATTTTTTTTCAAAATATTCTAAATATTGTAATTTTTTTCTAAATTTTATTGTAATTTTTCAATTTTTGTTTTAAAATTTTATTCTAATTTTCTTATTTTTTTTTTTTTTTTTTTTTTTTTTTTGCAGTGGATCGAGTTTCTTGTTGGGCGTTCGTTATCCACAGTTGGACTTCACAACAAATTTTTTCAAGCTCTTTCAGTTCATTTTAATTTGTCATCTTCATTGGTCATTAGCAGCGAGATCTCGTCACAGAGATGACATCGTTCAACATGTCATTAATCCTGTTCTGTGTCTCTATACTCTTTATTGTACTACTGTAGTGCTTATGGGAATGGTGGATATTAATGGAACCTGGACCGAATGTTTCCGTACGTATTCACTTCTTTTTCTTCTTTTTTTCTTGTAATAAAAACAGTAAAATGTAAATATATTTGTCAGTGTTTCTTATCCGAAACACTGACTTTTTTTTCGTCAATGAGAGTCGAAAAAAAAATTTGCATAATAGTCGTATAAGCAGAAGAATAATCCATTTTTATGAGGCTAAAGTCCGTAACGATTTTACAAAAACCGAAAAGCAGAAAAAGCTTTTCGCTTTTGGCCTTTTCCAAAAATAGTCTGTTAATTTTTTTTTTTAAAATTACTTTAACCGAAATTATTTTTACAGGGCCATATTGGTTAATGCTGTCGAGTGCGGATTTCATAGCGGTGCAATTGTTCGCGGTAGTTGCACTTTATTTAACTCACAGCAGTCGTCAAACGGCAATTTCGGCCCTAATGTTGCCATCCACGTCGTCGCAGACTCGGGATCTTTGGCTCGTCACGGCCGTCTACGAACTTTCGGCTACAGTTTCCGTTGTCTTCGATGCCGCAATGACTCTTTGTAAGAATAATTCTTTTCAGTCGAAAAAAAAAAAAAAAAAAAAAAATGTTATTTATCACCAATTTGCAACTTTTAAACATTTTTAAACTTTATAACACTTTTGATACTATTTTTGATTTCTAAATTCAGTTCTCGAGGCTGAATTTCAAAGACTGGGACTTAAAATTATTGTGAATGGAAAAAAAGTTTGAAAAGCATTGTAATTACTGATCTAATTTCAGTGGAGAAAGAAGAGTACGGTTGCAGTGGAATTTACAATCACGTACAGCTTTATTACAGTTCAGCAACTGTTATCGTTACGATTCTCAAATTCTTTGTGCCAACCTGGACTCTTCTCTGCGTCTTTCAACCAAGTCGAGTCAAGTCCAGACCCTCTGAAGTCGCTCTTACGTCTCATTACAATATGGTGAGGATTATTCTAGATAGTTATAACTTTCAAATTGGAAAATAATATTTAGAACTGAGGTTCTAAATATTATTTTAGGTGTCCCAGTATCTGGACACCATTCTTAAGATACTGGGCCACCTAAAATAATATTTAGAACTGAGGTTCTAAATATTATTTTAGGTGTCCCAGTATCTGGGCACGATTCTTAAGGTGGCCAAATACTGGGCCACCTTAGTTAGCTAATTTCTAACATTTCTAGCTAAAGTTAATTTAATTCTGATTTTAGTAATTATCAAGATACTAATTTTGAATTTACCCTTTTTTTTGTGCGCAAAAGGACGGCTCGTGCTACAATCAGTATCACCGAATGTTCGCATCACAAAATGGCGTGCTCTCAAATTCGATTCCCTATCCATCGATACCCTATCCAGTCGAATCGCCGGTATTCGGAAGTTACGGTGACTTTTCCTACACTGACAGTTCACCGGACGCTTCGCCAACAATCACTCGATGCTGGAACGGCACCGAGGACGAATCCCTAAATGGCTATGAAAAGCACTTTTTGAATCTCGATCAGAAAAAGGAGGAGAGTCGCAATCGAATGGAGCAAGCTCGTCAAAATCTCGAAAAGAGCCTCGGACTCGATTTGGAGAATGACACCGCTCTACGTAACGTCAGGAATCTCACCACAATTTGCGAGGAGGGTGCCAATAACATCGACAACAGCCAAGAATGAATGCTCAATTCTTCTAAGTCACTAATTGTCCCTGATTTTAACAAAATCCGTTCTTTTCTGTTTTAGTTCTGTTTTAGTTCCAATTTTGGTTCTGTTTCAGTTCTATTTCCGTTCTGTTTCAGTTCTACCTCAGTTCCACTTCAGTTCAACTTCTATTTTTAATTTTTAGTCCCTTTTTAGCCCATTTGACAAAAAAATCAATTCGATAACCAAAAATTAACCAGTTTTGGTAACTAAACTGTTGACCAAATTTCTGTTTGCATTTTTATTTAGCGGAAAAGTACATTCCCCCCAAAAACAAGGTTTAGACTTCGAATTAAGAGAATTCTTCGAGAAAAAAACCGAGATCTCAAGAAAAGGCTGAATTTCAAATTCTCTCGCTACAATTAATTGTGCTGTAGGGAATATTCTTCTTCGACGCCTGAGTTATTTCAGGTAAAACTTAAATGTAATCAATGTGTACTCATCGAAAAAAGGAAAAAAAACGCCCGACCTTTGAAATTACTACATATTAGGCTCATAAAGTGTTTTAATAGTCTAATAATCCTAATTTCTAAGTTGCATTTTTATACTAGATACGTACAAACAAAAAAATATCTAATAGAAATTAACTGCGTACTCGATATCTAATTAGTAGATACCAACATCGATATCAAAACTAAGATATTTACGTATAATTATTGACTCCATTTCGGAGTTCTTGTCCGTCTTTTTTTATTGATATTAAGTTATCAATTACCTCCCGATTCTCAAACGAGCAGTTCAACTGCCAAGAATCATTAATTCGAGACTTCACTATAAATTTTTCTTCTTTTTTTTGCGTGCAGTTCTCGAATAGTTTGTAAAAAAAAACACAAGAAAACTAACGGTTTTACGACCATCCTTCCAAATGCTGTGATGATGCAAGAAAATATCACTTTCAATTTTTTCTATTTCTTTCAAGTCTCCTGGAATTTAGCGTCGACTCTGGGATTTTTTCCACAAAAAGGAAAATAAACCGATTTTTTGCCAAGTGTTCAAAAGAAAAGTTCTTCGAAGTTAAAAATCTGATAATGTTTCTAACTCCGATTTTAATGACAGCGTCGACGCTAACTTTAGGAACACATTTCTTTGAATTAAAAAACACACGAAACATTACGAAAAAAATTATGTTCAAGTCGGCGACTATTTTAGAAACGAAAAACTAAAAATACCCACAAATAATTTGACTCCGAATTGATGTTAATTTTCCAAAATTGGAATTTTTCGGTAATTAATTCTTAGAGGACCCACAAATAATTTGATGACATCAAATTATTTGTAGGCCCTCTAAGAATTAATTACCGAAAAATTCCAATTTTGGAAAATTAACATCAAAATTAGATTTGAAAAAAGTTTTTTCGTTTCTAAAAAAAAACGTCACCGACTTCAAGTCCTCATCGAAAACAATGAACACATTTTTTAGGCTAAAAAAAACATTTTTTACATTTAACATTTTTAATAGAAAGTCAAAAAAAAAAAAAAATTAGTCGTAGTTTTACATGTTCATCTTTCGAATTTTTAATTAGGCCTAATAGAAAATTCAACTTCTTTTCTCTCGTCCTTTTGCAATTTTTTACGTAAAAAGAAAAAAAAATGTGTAAATTATAATTCTCATATATTTATGAATGTGTGAAAAATATTTCATTACTCAAAGCTTTATTTAATTACATCGACCCCAGTGTATATTTGTTTTTACTCAATGTGATCAATTCTTTCACTTATATTGTAAATTTTCCTTCTTCTTTTTTTTATAGATTTTATTTATTATAGATTTTTTATCAAAGTTATCAATTTGTGATTTAATTTTACAACTTTTTTTTCTTGACATATAGAAATACTGTTATAAAAAATATAAATATAGGATATATTATTATTATTATTGTATAATTTGATTTATAATAGAAGACATGTGCTTCCGAAACAATGGCGTTTTCATTTATTGCTAAATCATTATATCAATTACGAACGATTAATTTTATTGGAGAAAATAAAGACGAAATTAATGAGAATACAAAGTTTTCTTTGTGAAAATGTTTTTTTTGAGGAAAATTTTTTGTTTTATAACAAAATCTCTTTTCTTTTATACAAAAAAAAATCTCTTGGTAAAGATTAAATGTTGATTAATTAATTAGAGTTGCGCTTCGATTGTTGAAAATTGTGTAATCGAGCAACTACGTCGGCTTTCATTTTTATAGAATTTACATTCACGTCTGATATTCACGTCTTAAATACGTATTTGGAAATTTATGCAATTTGTTTAAAAATGTCCATTTTAATGTGAGAATGACAATGGTCTACATTTAAGTGTCGCGTTTGTTTTGTTTCCATTTTTTTATTTTGGAAAAAAATGCTTTTATTTCCTTCTTCAGAATATTTTACTTTTTTTCCTATTTTTTTGTTTTTACAGTTGAAATTTAACGATTTTAAATCAGTTTTTTCAATTTTTTACGTTTTTCATTCAAAGAAAAAATTTATTTGTAAAAATGGTAATAATTTCTTAAAAATATAAAATTTATTTCAATAAAGTTAACAAAATTTTCAATTTTTTGAAAATTTGAAAATTGTTTTTGGGAATTTAATTATTGTCTTAGTAATTAAATTTTAAATACAATTTTAATTACAATGTAATTCTTTCAAAATCCAATTATTTTTTTAGAATTTTTAACTAAAATTCTCCTTTAGAGCAATTATTTTTATTAATTTGAAAATTTTTTGAATTGAAATTGAAAACTGAAATTAAAAATTGAAAATTGAAATTCAGTAAAATTCAGTTATAAAGAAATTCTTTTTTTTTGTTTAAATCATTGAAGTTAAAATTGAAACACGAAAAATTAAAATTAAAATTAAAATTGAAATTCAGTAAAATTCAATTATAAACAAATGGATTTCAGAATTATTTTACGCAAACTTTCTTTTTTTGTTCAAATAATTGAAATTGAAAATTGAAATTCAGTAAAATTCAATTATAAAAAAATGGATATCAGAATTATTTTACGCAAACTTTCTTTTTTTTATTTTGTTTAAATAATTAAATTCTAAAAGAACTTTCACAAAAATTTTCATAAATAATTGATTTAGAGAATAATTTCAGTTAATTATTTTTAAAATAATTGAATTTTATACAAAAATATAGAATTATTTTACGCAAACTTTATTTATTTTTTTTTTTTAAATAATTAAATTTCGAAACTTTTCAATTTCAAATTTTTAGAAAATAAAAATTTTTTAAAATAAATAAATTGTAATTAAAAATTCTGAAGAAGTTAATTTTTCGGGCTGGTAGTTGTTCTAATAATTTGTTTACTTTATTAGTTATTCACGAAGTTGCAAACGTAATCAACAATTTTTTATTACGTAAACACTTTCTTAGAGGGAAACACTTGTCGATTCATTTTTCCGGTTTTTTTTTTTAGATAAAAAAGCGCTTTTCGTTAAAGTTTACATTCTATTTATGCTTTTTCAAAACGACGTAACGTTCTCCTTTCTCGAGCAAAATAATAACGAGAAACAAAGTTGTTGGGAAATTATTATTTATACGTAAATTTTTTGCAATTCAAAATATTTTTCTAAAAAAAAAGAGAGAGAGAGAGAGAGAGAGAGAGAGAGAGAGAGAGAGAGAGAGAGAGAGGGGGGGGGGAGAAGAATTTAGGAAAACAGTTTACAGTTGAAAACAAGTGTAAAATATGAAACTAAGTAAAAAGTAATAGAAAAACTAAATAAAAAATAGAAAAACTAAATAGAAAATAAAAAAACTAAACCTAGAAAAATTAAAAAAATATAGAAATTAAATAAAAAACAGAAAAACCAAATAAAAAATAGAAAAACTACAAAAATAGAGAAACTAAATAAAAAACAGAAAAACCAAATAGAAAATAAAAAAGCTAAATAAAAATCAGAAAAACTAAAAAAAAATAGAAAAACTAAATAAAAGAATATGAAACTAAATAAGGAACAAAAAAATAAATTAAAAAAATAGGAAACTAAATAAAAAATAGAAAAACTAAATAAAAATAAGGAAACTAAATAAAAAATAGAAAAACTAAATAAAAATAAGGAAACTAAATAAAAAATAGAAAAACTACAAAAATAGAGAAACTAAATAAACAAGTTGTTTATTTCATGATCATTAAGCTTCCTCAATATAATATATACCAATTGTTTAATTTTTTATTTTAGAATAATTATTTTAAAGTGTTAAGATAAATTGTCAAAAAATACAAAATTTCAATTTTTTGTGAAAATTTAAAATATTTATTAATTCTATAAATTTTGATAAAATATATACTTTATATACATGAATCGATTCGTTTTTATGTCAGGAATGCAATTTTGACAAGAATTAATAAAAATTTTAATATAGAAAAAAGTTACTTCAAAAAATCCAAAAATTAAAAAATTGTTGAAAAAAATTTTTTTTTTAGATATTTTTGAAAATCCTTTTGTCTGATTTTTGGTATTCGTGACCGTAATACACCTACAAAATTTTATATCAAAATCCGTCAAGACGTGTAAGAGAAAATTTGTCCACAAGAATCGGTGACACACACACACACACACACACACACACATACATACATCCGGACATTTGTTCCTCTCGACGAATTATGTATACTACACTTGAAAATTTGTAAAAATAATTGGTTCTAAAAAATTCGGAAATCGACATCACTATAAGGCTTCCTTTATGAGGAAGCAAAAACAGAAAAACCAAATAGAAAATAAAAAAGCTAAATACAAATCAGAAAAACTAAAAAAAAATAGAAAAACTAAATAAAAATAAGGAAACTAAATAAAAAATAGAAAAACTAAAAAAATAGAGAAACTAAATAGAAAAATTAAAAAAAATACAGAAATTAAATAAAAAACAGAGAAACTAAATAAAATTGGAGAAACTAAATAAAAAACAGAGAAAATAAATTTAAAAAATAGGAAACTAAATAAAAAATAGGAAAACTAAATAAAAAATAAAGAAAGTAAATAAAAAATAGAGAAACTAAATAAAAAATAAACAAACTAAATAGAAAAACTGAATAAAAAACAGAAAAAATAGAAAAGCTAAATAAAAAAATATAAAATCAAATATTCAGAGTGACAATTAAAATTATTCGCAAAAAAATCATAAATACAGAGAATTAATCTAAAAGTTTTTAAAAAAGTTGTTTATCAGTGTTGTAAGTACTTTTCTCTCTTGGTTAATTGTTGCAAAACTCTTTACCTTTCGCCTCCCAAAGGAAATAACTGCATTCCTCAGTCAACCTACCCTTCTATCCGCCCATCGCAGGGTAGAAATTATCTCAAGCGTATTCTGGTAAAATGTTATAGGTAAAAGTGACAGTTCTATTTGTATTCTTGTCGCGACAACATCTTTAAACGTTCAATTAAGAAAAGAGAGAGAGAGAGAGGAAAAAAAGAATTCATTCTAAGAGAAAGTAAACAATCCATTTTAGTGAAACGCAATAGCCTAGAAACTGACGAAAATATATTATTTTTCCAATATTATTCGATATAATTTTCTATAACGAGTAGATGATAAAAAAAATAAAACTCGTACGATTGTAATTGTGTAAACAAACGTGTCATCATCTCGAGTTGCTTTCGACAACAAATTCGGTTTAAAAATGCAGTGAGCGTATAGTAATTAAAAATAGAAAACGTTGAAAAAATTTGAAATTTAAATTTAAATAACAAATAAATTTCGGATAATGAACTTTATCTCGATTATTTTTGAAAAAAATTCTACTCTTTTCGACTTATTTCTAAAAAAATACGAATTTTTGGGACTATTTTCAAAAAATGCTCCTTTTTTCAATTTATTTTGATAAAATGCGACTATTTCGACTTTTTTCCCCACTATTTCCAAAAAAACGCGACTTTTTTCGACTTATTTTCAAAAATGCGAATTCTTACGATTATTTTCTAAAAATGCTTCCCTTTTCAATATATTTTTAAAACATAAGACTATTTTGACTATTTTTAAATCATTTTGAGAAATTAGTGGAAAAAAAGTCCCACTAATTTCTCAAAATGATTTAAAAATTCTTGTTTTTTGGCAACTTTGAAAATACTAAAAAGCTAAAACTGTCTTTGAATTTTCTTTCTTTTATTTAAAAACTTAAAAAAAATTACAATTCCCATTTTTATAAAAAAAATGAATTTTTGTATTTAAATAATTGAATTTTCAAAGAAAATTTATTCAAGAAAAATTTTCTCGAAGAAAAATTATTTAAAATATTTAAGAGAAAATTTAGAGAAAAAGTTTAATTGAAAATTCAGGAAAATAATTGAATTTTGAAAATATATCGTAAAAATTTTTAGAAACAATCAAATTTCAAAAAAATTGAAAACAATTAAACTTTAAATTGTATATTAAGTGAACTTTCGTTTACTGTTTTTTAAAAATTCAATTCTTAAAGAATATAAAGAAAATTATCAAAAATAATTGAATTGGAAAAGAGTATGATATTTTCTTTTCAAAAATTGACAAAAATAATTGATTTAAAAAAAAAATTTCGTAAAAAAATCCAGATAATAATTGAGTTATGGAGAAATTACTGTAAAATTTTGTTAGAAATGACAAAAATTTTCAATTTTTATCAAATCAGCTTTTTAAAAAATTTTAATTAAACATTTTTTTTGTAATTAGTTGAATTTTTGAATTTTTTGAAAATATAATAGAATTTTGTATAAAATATAATTGAAAATAATTGAATTCAAATTTTTATTTTAAACAAACTTTCTTTCATTTTTTTTTTTTTTTTTGAATAATTTAATTCTCAAAGAAGCTAATCAAAATTACCGAAAATAATTGATTTAGAGGTTTTGAATTGAAATTTAAGAAAATAATTGAATATCAGAAGAGTTGTAAAAATTTTTAGAATTAAATAAAATTTCAAAAGGTTTCAAATTTATATTTTTTAAGAATTGAATTTTAAATAATTTCAATTAAAAATTACTTATTAGTAATTTTTTAGAATTTTTTATCGAATTGGAAAAATTACGAAACGAAATTTTGCAAAATTGAATTGGAAAAAATTGACTTTTAGAAGTTTTTTAAGTGAACTTTTTTTAGAATAATTAAATTTTCATAATTATTAAAAATAAACGTTTTAAAAGGGGGTTTAATAAAAAATTTTAGAAAATAATTGAATTTTAAATTAATTTTATTTTTTTAAAGTAGAAATTTCAAAAGTACCGAAATAGGAATTTTTGAAAATTTAAAAAATTATTAAACTGTCGAAAAATTGAATTTAGAAATTATAAAAAAATGCAGTTTTTGAAGAATTTCAATTAAAATTTTTTGGAAGAGAGAATTGAATAAATTCTCGAAAGCAATTAATTGAAAAATTGTTTAAAAAATTGTAAATTTCGTTCAATTTTAATAAAATCTCAATATTTTGGAGAATTTTATTAAAATTTTCGAAAAATAATCGTGTTTTTCAAGAAAAATTTTTGAAAAATAATTTTAAAAAAGTGGAAAACAATTGAACTGTAAAATAATTGAATTGAAAAATAATTAAAATAATTGAAAAATTATTGAATTAGAAAATAATTAAATTGGAAAATAATTGAACAAAAACTTTGAATTGAATGAGAAAAAATTATTGAAAAAATTGAATTGGAAAATAATTCAAATAATTAAATTGGAAAATAATTGAACAAAAACTTTGAATTGAATTGAAAAATAATTGAATTAGAAAATAATTGAAAAAATTGAATTTGAAAATAATTTAAAATGGAAAATAATTCAATTAGATAATAATTAAAGTAATTGACTTGGAAAAATTGGAAAATAATTGAACAAAAACTATGAATTGAATTGGAAAATAATTGAAAAAATTGAATTGAAAAAAATTGAAATCATTGAACAAAAATATTTTCGACATCTTTCCTACTTTTAATCTTTTAAAAGGACTTTTCTTTACCTCTTAAATTAAACCGAAAGCCTTGAAAATATTAAAATCAGCAAAAAACAAAAAATCAATTGCCAAACAAAAAAATAAAAAAAAAATCGCGAAAATAAAATATCCCAACTATACGTATATCTATTGAAAATTTCAACTAATCTTGACATATTTTCTTCTTTTTGGGGATGATATGTCAATTCTTATCGCACATAAATAATAAATTCCTTTCATTTATCGTAAATGCGTATATTTTCACACCCACTTTTATTCCTTTCGAAATCTTGTCCGATAATAAATATGTTTTATCATAAAATTATTCAAACAAAAACGTCAACGAACGGGCCACTAGATCGGACAGCAATATTATTCTCAAGGGTGGGGGGAGGTAAAGACACTCTCTCCCCCACTCTTTACCCTCTCTCTCTCTCTAATAAATGCTAATAAATAAAATATTCATTCCAAATTCATTATTTCAGAAAACGAATGCGCGCATCACTTACGGAATATTTTCTCTCTACTCCAGAGTATAAAAGACAGTTTCTTTTTCCCCTTTATTATTTTTTATTATTTATTTTATTACCTTTTACTTTTACAATTTTTTTTAAGATAATTTTATTTTATATTTATATTAAATTTCGAATATTTTATTAAAAAAAAATTTCGTTTCAATTTTTAATGAATTTTATGTAGAACTCATGCTCTTCGAAAAAATCAAAAGTGTCACTCTTCAAGGACTTTGGATATTTTGAAGGTTTTTTGTGTTCGCGATTTTATTTTCCGGGCAAAAAATAAACTAATAATTGAAAAATTATAAAAAAAAGGTGCGTGTTTCTACGAGAAATGTGCAAAAGTTTATGCCCAATTTCTGGATAAAATTGTGCCACGATTAATTTTTTTTTTTGTATTTAAAAAATGGTGCTTAGAAGAAAGGTGAGTCTTTCTATTGTCTACTAAACAATTATAGTAGAATATAGTAATTAGTAATTAATAAAATAGTAATTAGTACACTGGAAAAAAAAATCTTTGATTCAAATAAAATATTACTTGTCTATTATCAAATAAATATTTACTTGAATCGAAGAATTTTTATTTAAATCAAATAAATATTTACTTAAGTCAAGTAAATTTTATTTTCATCAAATAAATATTTACTTTAATCAAAGAATTTTTATTTAAATCAACTAAATATTTACTTAAATCAAATAAATTTTATTTAAATTAGATAAATATTTACTTAAATCAAATAAATATTTACTTAAACCAAATTAATTTGAACCAATAATTTTCAATATTTGAACATCCAGAAAAAAATATATTTGACTCAGAGCCAACTAGACTTTTAATTTGTTTCAAAGAAATTTTATTTGGTTTAAGTAAAATTTTATTTGGTTCAAATAAAATTTCACTTACACCAAATAAAATTTATTTGAAACAAATAAAAGTTTTATTTAACTCAAATAAATTGTATTTGGTTTAAATAAATTTTATTTGGCTCAAGTAAATATTTATTTGATTTAAATAATTTATTTAAGACACTGAAAAAAATTTATTTGATTCAAAAAACCGATTACTTGTCTCTAACGTCTAACCAAATAAATATTTACTTGTATCAAATAAATATTTACTTGAATCAAATAAATATTTACTTAAATGAAATAAATTTTATTAAATCCAAATAAATTTACACCAATAATTATTTGATTCAAGTAAATATTTATTTGATAATAGACAAATAGTCGTTTATTTGAATCAAATAAATTTTTTTTCAGTGTTTTCTATTATCAGAAAAATATTTACTTGAATCAATTAATTTTTATTTAAATCAATTAAATGGTATTTGCATAAAAAACAAAAATTATTAGTTTTAATAAAATTTGATTAAAATATAATTTTATTTAAATAAAATTTGATTAAAATATAATTTTATTTAAATAAAATTTGATTCAAATATTTGAATGAAATAAATTTTGATTCAAATATAATTTGATTCAAATAAATTTTGATTCAAATATAATTTGATTAAAATAAATTTTGATTCAAATATAATTTGATTGAAATAAATTTAGATTCGAATGAAAATTTTTTATTTCAATTGAAAATGATTTGATTCAATTAAAAATTATTTGACTCAACTAAATATTTATTTGCCAATAGACAACTAATCGTTTCGTTGAATAAAATAATTTATTTTTCTCCACTGTAAAATTAGAAATAGAACTTAAAAAAATTTATTCATTGTTTAGAAATTAAAATACCCGTCATCAGGTGATATTGTTTTTTTTTTTTTAAATACTCCCTGCCTCTGATTGGTCGAAGTGCACGTGTATAAACCTAACTGAACCTAACCTCACCTGACCCCCGGAGGCTATTCTCAGCTGATCAGTGTTTCTGATTTTTCCTTAGAAATATATGCACGATTAATATATGCACGTTACCTAATTAAATTCTGGCTTATTTAAATTGACCATGAGCAAAAGTGTTTTACTTCTTTTTTTCTTCTTCATTTTACTCGCATATTCTTAGTTAACAATAATGATGATATTAACCTATTTGACCCGGAAATTCAAATCAAAAAATTTATACCCACATTCATGGAATTTGGTGAGTTGAAAAAATTTTAGGATTTGTGTGATTTTTTGTAAAATTCTGACAGTAAAAATGTTACATTTTTCATTTATTTTCAAGCTACAGTTAATATATTGATTTTCACTAACATATAATATGCAAATTATTATTTTAAACAATAGACAATTTAAATAACAAATGCAGTGAAAATGTTTACATATCTCTTTTCTTTTGTTATTTCTAAAATGGGATTTATTAAAAAAATTTATGTTTATTTCTTAATAATATTTAATATTTTATTCAATAATATTTAATAATTTAATAATAATAATAATTTAATCCACTATTTAATAATTAAGTAATATTTAGTTAAATTCATATGTTTGATAAATAAAAATATAAATAAATTCTTAGAATTTATTTAAAATTTTATTGAAATGAATAAAGTAAAAGAATTTTTCAATTCCTTTGAAGAAATTTATAAAAAATCTTTGAAAATAATTGAATTCCTACGAAGAATTTTATTGTTTATGAAAATAATTCAATTCTTAAGGAAGAATTTTGTTAAAATTTTGAAATTGAATTTTATTTAAAAATGTTTAAAAATAATCAAAGTCATTAGAGAAAATTTTTAATTGAATCGAAAATAATTGAATTCATACGAAGAATTTTATTGTTTATGAAAATAATTCAATTCTTAGGAAGAATTTTGTTAAAATTTTGAAATTGAAATTGAATTTTATTTAAAAATGTTTAAAATTAATTAAAGTCGCAAGAGAAATTTTTTTAAATTGAATCGAAAATAATTGAATTTCTATACGAAGAATTTTATTAGTTATGAAAATAATTCAATTCTTAGGAAGAATTTTGTTAAAATTTTGAAATTGAATTTTAATTAAAAATGTTTAAAAATAAAAGTCGTTAGAGAAAATTTTTTAAATTGAATCGAAAATAATTGAATTCCTAAACGAAGAATTTTATTGTAAAAATAATTCAATTCTTGGGAAGAATTTGTTAAAATTTTGAAAAATTGAAAATAATTGAATTTTTTCAAAGAATTTTATCAAAATTTCCAAAAATAATTGAATTTCTAGACCGAATAAAAAATTTAATCCGAATAAAATTTTAAGCAATGAATTAAATACTTTCTGAGACAAATTTATTTTCATTCAACTCAAATAAAAATTGGTTTCAAATAAAATTTTTCTCCTTGTTAACAATTAATAATTTTTGACATTTATGTCATATTTATTTTTTCTCTCATTCCTTTGACGTATGTACAATTGTTAATATCAGCAGTTAAACTTTTTTCCCCGGGTTATCTAAACATTTCGGATAAAATTTTCTTATAATTGGACTTTAAAACTTATAATTACAATATAAATAAGCAATAATTGCTGAATTATTGCTAATTCATTGCAAGGAGTTGAAAATTAAATTTTACCTTCACAATTTACTTTTTTCTTGTCTAAATTTTATAAATTATAATCTTAACGTAATTCGTAATTTCAATTACAGATAAATTTAATTTTCGCATAACTCATCTCAAATTTCGTCATTTGGATAATTATTAATGCCTCAAGTTTTGTGATTATTTTTTTTATCACCAATCCTCAACTTTAAATGACTTGTAAATTAATCACCCGGATAAGAAAAATTTTAATTTATTCGTTTTAAATAAAAAATTTTATTCATAAATAAATAAATAAATAAATATTTTGAGATATTTATAATTAAAATTCTTCAAAAATTTGATTTTTTTTATTTTTCATAAATTCAAGTAGTTTGAAAGGATTTTATCAAATTTCAATTATTTTGAAAAGATTTTACCAAATAATAATTTGGAAATTTTTTAATTGATATAATTGAAAAACTTGTTTAAAAAATTATTTATACATCAGCAAATTTTTTAGAAGCCTTCTTTTATTTTCTTTAATAGATATTATCTCTTGGAGGATTGGTGAATCAAGTGAAACCAAATGTGAGGTGGAGTTCATCGTTAAAAATTCAAGACAAGGAAGCGATTCAACCAGATCGGTCCTTTAAGGTATTTTTACACTTTTTTGAAAAAGAAAAAGAAATTTACAAAAAAAATTTTGAGAAATTTGAATCGAACGTTTTTTACTTGAATTTTGAAAATTTTTTACAGTATACAGATCTGTCGATTCGACTCTCAACTCCCGATCAACTTCAACCCAAGCCCAATGTTCGTGAACTTCAATTTGGAAAATTCTTCACGGATCACATGCTTAAAATATTTTACTACGAGGCTTTGGGAGGATGGCAAATGCCAGAAATAACGCCCTTGGAGAATTTAGTATTGCATCCTGCAGCCAAAGTTCTACATTATGCTCTCGAGGTGATTTTTAATTTCAACTTTTTTCCTAACGGTCAAATTAAAAAAAAAAAAAAATTGCAAAAGAATAACTAATAAAAAACTTAAGAAACTAAAAAAAAACTAAAAAGAACTAAAAGAAGACTAAAAAACTAAAAAGCGATAATAAAACGACAACAAAAAATAAATATAGAAATAAAATTTAAATATAATAAATTTAAATTTACTATTTATTTAAATAAGTAGTGTATTTTTGAGATAACCCAATTTTTTTTAATGATAAATAATCGTACCACTAAAAAAATTATTCTTTAAATATTTATAAAGTGGAAATATTATCGATGAATTGTTTTTACAAACAAGAAACTTATCTAATAATTCAAATACGATTTTTAATTTGAATAAAGAAAGGAAAAAAATGGCACATTACTCTCGCGTCAAATTTAATGAGATCAAATTCGATATTAGATATAAATTAAAATCATTAAAATTAAATCCACAAGTTTTGAAAACGTTCAATGTTTCCAAAAGTATGGAAATTATTTCTCTTTCCGCATTTTTTGCATTGATAAAACCATAAAAATTTTACACTGAAAAAAAATTGATTTGTTTCAAAGAAATTCAATTATTTAAAAAATTTAATTAAAATTCTTTGCAAGAATTCAATTATTTTCAAGAATTTTAATAAATTTCTTATTAAAATTCAATTATTTTCAAATATTAATAAAAATATTTGTAATAATTCAATTATTTTCAAAAGTAATAAAATTCTTACAAAAAATTCAATTATTTTCCAAATTTCTGAAAAAAAAAATTCTCTAAATTTCAATTATTTTTAAAAATAGAAAAAAATCCTTCACCGAAATTCAATTATTAAAAAACTTTTTAATAAAATTCTCCTTAAGAATTCAATTATTTTCATAAGTATTAAAATTCTTCTCTGAGATTAAATTATTTCCATATAAATATTAAAATTCTTTTTAGAAATACAATTACATATTAAGTATTTTAAAAAATACTTAATTTTCTTCTCAGGAATTCAATTATTTTACAAAATTGTTTTTAAAAAATCTTTTTAGGATTTTAATTAGCTTTAAAAATAGCAAAATTCCTCGATGAAATTCAATTATTCAAAAAAATTATTTTCATAAATTTTAAAATTCTTCTCAAAGATTCAATTATTTTCAAAAATAATAAAATTTTATTTAGAAATTCAATTATTTAAAAAATTTTAATAAAATTCTTCCAACAAATTCAATTATTTTCGAAATTTTCGAAAAAAATTCTTTTTAAAATTTCAATTATTAAAAATTTTTTTAATAAAATTGTCCTAAAGATTTCAATTATTTTCATAAATATAAAATTTCTTCTCAGAGATTCAAATATTTCCGTAAATAATAAAATTCTTTTTAAGAATTCAATTATTTAAAAAATTGTATTAAAATTCTTCGCAGGAATTTAAGTATTTTGAAAAATATTAAAATTCTTCTGAGGAATTCAATTTTAAAAAAAAATTTTTTTTTTAAAATTCTTCTCAAGATTTTAATTATCTTTAAAACAGCAAAATTCTTCAATGAAATTCAATTATTCCAAAAGATCTTTATAAAATGCTCCTCAAGAATTCAATTATTTTAAAAAATGTTTAAAGAAAAATTCTCGAGATTTCAATTATCTTTAAAAATTGCAAAATTCTTCGACTAAATTCAATTATTAAAAAAAAATTTAATAATTTTTCCTCAAGAATTCAATTATTTACATAAATATTAAATTTCTTCTCATGTATTCAATTATTTCCACTAATAATAAAATACTTATTAGAAATTCGATTATTTAAAAATTTTTTAATAAAATTCTTCGCAAGAATTCAAGTATTTTTGAAAAATATTAAAATTCTTCTCAGGAATTCAGTTATTTTCATAAACAATTAAATTCTTTTTAGAAATTCAATTATTTAAATCCAAAAATTACATTTTTTATAATTATTCTAACTATCCGTGTTTTTTTAAAGTTATAATATTTTCAAAAAATTATAATAAACAATTTTCATTGAAAAATTCTGGGAAAATTCAAAATATAATAAAGAAGTTTTTCAAATTAATTTTTTTAAATTATTTAAAATTAATTTTTGAAATATATAATAGTTTTTCAATTATATTGTACAATTAAAAATGTCATGTCAAAGCAATGGAAATTTGGTAAAATCTTTAAAAAGTAATTGAAATTTGATAAAAACTTTTTAAAATAATTGAATTTTTTGAAAAATGAAAATAAAAATAATCAAAATTTTTGAAGAACTTTAATTATAAATATGAACATGATTTCTTGAAAATTTTAATAAGTCTAAAAAAGTAAATTTTTAAAAAAATTTTAATTTACTTTCGTCGAAGATAATTGTTATGAATGCAATAAATGTAAATGTAAATAAATGTAGTAAATAAAATAAATGAAAAAAATATGATAAATATAATAAATAAAAAAAGAAAAAATGAATAAAGTAAATAAAGTAAATAAAATTAATATAATTAATTAATGAAATTACTGAAAATAAAAATTGCCACTGCAGTTATTCGAGGGACTAAAAGCCTACAGAGGAGTGGACGGAAAAATTCGTCTCTTCCGACCTGAGATGAATGCGGATAGAATGAATACATCAGCATTAAGATCGGGACTTCCAACATTCAATGGTCCCGAACTAATTAAATGTATAAGTCGACTGATTAGTATAGATCAAGAATGGGTGCCACATTCGGAAGCGTCTAGTCTCTACGTAAGGCCAACTCTCGTGGGAATTGACGTAAGTTTTCCAATTAATTTATAATACATTCGTTTGCTAATTATAACGCAATAACGACAAAACAATCTGAATGCTATGTCATGGAACTATTTTTCATTACATTGCATTACATCCAAAAACTTGAGCATATTTTAAAGTCAAGTTCGTTAGACCCTGACCCGTTATTTGTTTTGCATTAATTTTCATGTAATGGCTGATTCGAGGGGCGCATTATGTCACACCAACATTATATGGGCAATGCATTTATTTATTTATTTTTTATTTTTTTGCCAGGATAAATTTTTTTCTGTCATTTGTGATAAGGAGAAAAAGTAATGGTGTGATGTTTCGCTCCATTTAAAGATATATAGTTTCTTGTATTTAGTAAGACTTTTATCGCAGTTTTATGTGTCCAAAAATAATAATCATTGATTAGATATAATTTAGTTTTAGAGAAAAAAATTTAATCATGTTTTTAAAATCATCAACACTTGCAAAATTAGGCCTAGGACTGAATTGTGAAATAATAAATAGTATCAAAAGTGTTATGAAATGTTCGTAGTTGCTCACACTCGAAAATCAATTTTAAAAAGTAGTCTGTCGAAAAATTAAATTTGCCAACTAAAAAACTCGTATTAGGCGATTCAGAAAAATCACCAAAATTTCATTCCGTATTTCATTTCCCAGACTTTTTCCTAATATTCATAAAAAAACATTAAAAAAATTTTTTTATTATATATTAATAATTTCAATTCTTAACTTTTCAAAATTCAATTATTTTCTAAATATCGAATTTTAAAAATCTTCAAAAATATTTAAAAACAATTTTTAGAAGGAAAAAATAAAATTCTTTAAAATATAAAATTTATTTGAATTAAATTCGACAAAATTTTCAAAATAATTGGAAATATAATTTAATCTTTTTAAACTATTTACTGAAATTTAATTATCTTGGAAAAATTTTAATCACAATTTTTTTCTTTTGACATTTAATTATTTATAAAATTCATAATATAACGTTTCTAATATACTCAATTATTATGAAAAATTTTTACTTAAATTCAATTTCCAATAAATTCTTACTGTTAATTAATTAATTAATTAATTAATTAATTAATTAATTCAATTACCTGAATGCAAAAATAAATTATTTATTTAATAATTCAATATTTTTATAAATTCATAATAGTAAGAAATTGAAAAAAAATTTTATAAATAATTTTATTCAATTTTTTTTAAATAATTGAATTGCTTCGATGAAATTTAATAAAATTTTTAAGAATAATTTCATTTTTCGAGAAATTTATTTAAAAATGTTTTAAAAATAATTGAAATTGAATTGCAGAGTAGAGTTTTATTATTTATAAAAATAATTTAATTCCTGTGACGAATTTTATTCCAATTTTTAGAAAATAATTGAAGTTTTGAGAATTTTATTAAAAATTTTCTTAAGTAATTGAAGTCTAGTGAAAAATTGTATTATTTGCGAAAATAATTGAAATCTTGCGAAGAATTTTATAGAAAATTATAAAAATAATTAAATTTCTGTAAAGAATTTTATGAATTAACAATAATTGAATTCTTATAAAGAATTACAATAAATTTTTCGAAAATAATTGAAATGTTTAGAAAAATTTGATTATTTTGTTATTTCTGAAAAGAATGAATTTTACAAAGAGTTTTATTAAAATTTAAAAAAAAATTGTATTGCAGGAAATTTAATAAATTATATAAATAATTGAATTCTTGCGAAAGATTTTATAATTTTTTTTTTTTTTTAATAATTATATTTCTACGAATTTTATTAAAACTTTTAAAAAATAATTGAATTTCTGAGAAGAATCTTATGAAAATTGTACGAGAATTAAAACAATTGAATTCTCACGAAAGAAATTTAATATTTAGAAAAATAATTGAATTTTTTGAAAAATTTTACAAAAATCTTTAATAATAATTAAATTTTTTAGAGAAATTTTATTAAAAATAATTCAATTTCTTTGAAAATTTTACCATTTTTTTCGAGGCATTTATTTAAAATTGTATTAAAAAAAATTGAAATCTTGCAAAGTTTTATTATTTATAAAAATAATTCAATTTTTGCTACGAAAATTATTGAAATTTTAAAAAATCATTGAATTTTTACGAAGAATTTTTTTATTTATGAAAATAATTGAATTCTTGAAACGAATTTTAATGAAATTTTAAAAAATAATTGAATTCCTACAAAAAATTGTTTTATTTACGAAAATAATTGAATTCTTGAAACGAATTTCAATGACATTTTAAAAAATAATTGAATTTCTGACTATTATCTTATTATTTATAAAAAGAATTGAATTCTTGTAACAAATATTGTTGAAATTTTAAAAAATAATTGAATTTCTGACTGTAATTTTATTATTTATGAAAATAATTGAATTATTACGGAGAATTTTATTACAATTTTTCTAAATAATTGAATTCCTGTATAAATTTTATTAGTTATGAAAATAATAATTGAATAGTAGATAATGTGAAGTTTTGTTTATTTTAATAAGAAATTAAAAATTTTATCAACCGAACTGACATCTAGCGGTGACCTTGGCGTTCTCAGGTGGAGAATTACGTCTCCATGTTGAATCTCAATTTCATTGTAATTTTACAATTATTTTAAAATTCTACAATTTTTTAAATTGCTATTTTTATAGTTTAATTCTTTTTGGGTCTTAGAATTTATTTGCTCCCTAATAAATTGACATTTAAAATTTCGGTTAAAATAATTGAAAACCATTCGTGATTTTTTTTAACGAAGAAGAATAGCTACACTTTTATTAAGAAATTTTCAAGAATAATTTTTTAGTCTTGAATTATTGAAAGAAAAAGTAACTACAGAAATGTGGAAATATTTGGAGACAACAAATTACTAAATACTACTCGAATGCATTTTGTTTGTCCATATCCTGCACGTGTGAGTGACAATAACCTTTGGCAGTAGACTATTTTTCTAAACTTTCTATAAACAATACTATTTATAACAAATAGCCGTTGAATACAAAGAAGAAGAAGAAGAACAAGAAGAAGAAGAATAAAAGCATTATCAATTCGCATTTTTCACCCGAGCCATTGGTTTATCTACGAGTTATCAGAATGGAATTAATGCAAATCGAACATGCCACTAACAAACAATTTAGTCTTTGTTCGCTCATATACAATTTCATGCTCCCTATTCAAAAAAGAAAAAAAAAGTCCTTTAACCATCAACAAATTGTTTTAAATCACTCATGTTGCAATAAATTTTAAACATTTTATCCAAACCTTTTAATAATTTTCGCAAATATAATGAAAAACGTTTTCTAATTGATGAAATTTCTATACATTTATTTATTACAACTTTGCTTATCGCTGTTTATCAAAGCGCGAATATTCAAGAACAATTTACTTTATACCGCGCGATAAACTACATTTCGAAATATCACCATTTTTTTTATCCTTTCTTTTCTCTTGTAATGATTTTAAATGTCGAAATTTAGATAATATAATATTTTCCAGATAATGTGTTGAAGAAAATACAAAAAAAGTAAAGTCCCTAAAATAAAAGAAAAACTGGAAATTCTATTTTTTACTATACTAATTAAAATTTCTAATTAAAAATTCTGTACTAAATAAGATAAAATAAATGGAGTATTGTAGTAATATATAAAGTTCGTAGACTAAATTCTCGTCCTAGGAAATAAAGAATAATCTAACAATATTATTATAATCTCTAGATACAATAATAATTTACTGGACAAGTATACAAAGTTCAGTGATTATCACTTTTTAATTAAACATGGGTCAACTGGGAGTTAAAATTTCATCCGTATTTCGCACATAAACGGCATAATCTCATAATTTTATTGTCAAATTTTGATATATATATGTGAGGCTTAACGAGTAAACCTAAGAACTTTCCAAATCTGAATTAGTAGAAAGTCATTAATGAAAATCATTTTATCAAATGAAGAAAGTCTTCCACTAAATGATTCAGGGCTGGTTTAACTAATACCAATTAAAATTTAATCAAAAATTATTGATTAACTTTTAATTTAGGTTGGTGGAATTAGCCCTTAGGACCAGTTTCACCAACTCTAATTAAAAGTTAATCAATAATTTTTGATTAAATTTTAATCAGTGTTAGTGAATCATTCAAGCCAGTTTAACGGCTTATGATTGGTTGATCAAGAATTTAATCATTAATTGAGATTCAATCAGAGTTGTTGAATCTGGCCCTAAATAATTTGGGGCTTTAATCACTGATTACATTTTAATGGGGCTTGGTGGAATTAGTACAATTTTATGCTAGCATTTAATAAAGTTTTAGTAAAATTATAAGTAGAATTTTTTTAAGTTTAACAATTTGTTTTCAATTGCAGCCCACTTTGGGAGTTGCAGCTTCGGATTCAGCGCTTCTTTACGTAATTCTCAGTCCAGTTGGGGCTTATTTTAAACCAAATTCAACAGGAGGAATTTCATTACTAGCGGATCCGAGGTATACAAGGGCTTGGCCCGGAGGCTGTGGGGATAGAAAAATGGGAAGCAATTATGCGCCCACGATTCAAATTCAACGAGAAGCTGTGGAAAAGGGTTTACAACAAGTCCTGTGGCTCTATGGAGACGATCATCAAATCACCGAAGTGGGAACGATGAATATTTTCATGGTTTATGTCAATGACGATGGAGGTAGGGATTTCATTTTTTATCTTTTGGTAAACTAATTTTTTAGTTTTGCTTTTAATTAATAAACTATCAAGTAATATTAATAGTCAATAAATCTCTAGAATTGAAATTTAAAAAAGTAACTACACTATATAATTTTGAGCTTTCTAGAGCTATTTTAGCGCCCCAATAGAAAATTTTGAGCTCTTTAAATATATATATACAAAAATTTAATTTTTTTCTGGAGGTGCCCACTTACGTCAAAATATATTCTTTTCAATTCTATTATTATTTATAATAACAACCTAGGTTGTTGCTGAATAACATCCTAAAGGATAACAAAATTTTTTTTCCTTCTGAGAGTTAAAATTTTTAATTATTACAACGCCCAGTAGGATTTGCCCATCCTACTGCAAATAAAGACATTACAAAAAGTTATTAATTTTAATTTCTAGTAAAGATAAAAAGTTGGTTAAGGTATTATTTAAAAGCTAATATTTCCTACTCTCATGATATCAGAATCAAAAATTAAAAAACATGTTCTTCATTGTTTAAATGCAATTAGCAAAAAACAAAATTTTAAATTTTTTTGATAAATTTTGAACAAATGCAGTTTTTAACAAGTCATCTTAAAAATTATCGTATACAATAATTTTAAAGAAAAGTATTTGAAAGGTGACAAAATAAGCTTTCAATTGCAATGCATGAAGTTTGTGTGGGATGACTTATTGTTAATATTATATTAGCTTTCAAATGATATCTTAAGCAACTTTTTATTTTTGCTAGAAATTAAGATAAATAACTTATTTTTATAATGTCTTTATTTGAAGTAGGGTGGGCAAATCCTACTGGGCGGCACTGTACATAAAAAAAGCACGCGACAATTTTTGTTATTTCGATACGAGCATCAAGTCAACACTGATTAAAATTTGTTTTGGAAGAAGACCATCTGTATTAAATTGAGAAGTCAATGTCATAGGTAAACAGTACCTATAAAAAAGAACCTTCAAAGTTCTGTTATGAATTTAATCTCCTAAGAAGAGGTAAATACGTTCTTTGGAGAAAACATATCTTTTTTATTGATGTTTTTTTTAATAAAATTTGGTTCACGATCAAGTATATAATGGTATTTTTCTAATCGAAGTCTAATTCTAAACATTGACTTTATAAAAAATTTTAATTGTCTGCTGGCTTGACAGATCTCAATATTTGGAAGAAAAATCGAAAAAGTCGTAATTTTTTAAAATAAGTAAAGAAATATCACATTTTCTGAAAATAGTCGAAAAAGTCATAATATCCAAGGCCTGTACTTTTAATTTATTTAGAATGCGATTTACTAAATAAAAAAATAATTCAAAAAATTGAGTTAAAAATAGTTATTAATTTTTTACGTATATTATTTACATTTTTGGAGATTTTTAAATAAATGGATAATTAATTTTTTCCAGAGAAAGAATTAGTGACACCGCCATTGAACGGATTGATTTTACCAGGAATTACGAGAAATTCAATTTTAGCACTTTCGAGAGAATGGAATCAATTCAAAGTTACCGAGAGGAAAATTACAATGGGAGAAATATGTCGATTACTCTCAGAAAATAGAGTAAGCAAATAATATTTTCAGTCGAAAAATAAAGTAATAAGGAAAAATCGTATTTAAATAAAATTTACCGCAACTGATAAATTGCTAATCATGATCGAGCATATCATTATAATTACAAAATTATGATTAATAATTGAAAAAATACAGATTTTATTTTTTAAAAAAATTTGATAAGATTTTATTGTTTTTATATTTGTTTATATTAAGAAAAAAACTTGAGTTTAATACTAATTCGTAATTAATAGCAGTTTAATTAATTAATCCTGATTATTAATTAGTAACAGTTTAATTAATTAATCCTGATTATTAATTAGTAGAACTTCAATTAATTAATCCTGATTATTAATTAGTAGAAGTTTAATTAACTAATCCTGATTATTAATTAGCAGCAGTTTAATTAATTTAATGTTTACTTTAATATTTAATTAATTAATCCTAATCATTAATTAGTAGCAACTTAATTAATTTAATATTTAAATTTAATTTCAGTTGCTGGAAATGTTCGGAGCAGGCACAGCGTGCGTTGTCAGTCCAATATCATTAATAAATTATCTGGACCAAAATCTCCACATTCCCACCACAGAGCAAACGTCGGCTCTCTACAAAATCTTTTTGAAACACATGTCAGACATTCAATATGGCTACATTCCCTGCCATCCTTGGGCCTATCCTGTTGATTAAGATTCATTAACAAGGAGAAAAAAACTAAATGAATCTAAAACTGGAAAAGTTAAAGAGAAATATTTTTCCGAATTTCGAAGATAGACTGGAAATCTAGTCTTTGAAGATCAAAAGGAAGTTCAAAACTTGTGCGAAAATTGTGCGACTGTTTCTTTGAAACAGTTTATTTTCTTAAAAAAGAAAAAAATTTTATCCAACATCGTTGATTCCTATTTTTTTCTGTTGAGATTTTCGACTGATTCATTTTTTTGATAATCTCATTCTTTTAATACGGACTGAAATTTTTATCTCTACAATTTTTCAATTTTCTGTCCGAGGAAACGAAAGTGAATTTTAATATTTATTTTCAACACAGCGGATTTTTTTCTAGATATTATAACGAAATAAATTACTAGTTAGATTTTTTAATGACGAAATAAGAACTTATCGACTAAATTTTTGACCAGTTGACAAATTGTAAACAAAAATATTTCTAAAAAAAATCTGCAATAAGCGATCAACTATCATCGAATAGTGTATTTAATTAAAAAAAATTGTCTTCAATAGAAAAATATTTTTTGAAAAAATATTTTAAGAAAAAAAAGCGATATGTTTCTTGCAGAATTTGTAAATACTGTTAATAAGTTATTGCCTCTGTATATAAGTTATAGACTGTTCATTTTTTTTTTTACAAAAGTTGCGAACATAATAGTTCAAAAGTGTTTGAAATAATTATGCTGTCAACTTGCTGTGATTTTTAACTTGCAAAATTGTTCGTGTACATAAGATTTGTTTTACGATATAAATAAATTAAATTTGGTTTAATATTATTCCGGAAGTTTTTTTTGTCTTCCACTTTTAACTTTTACTCTCCTTTTCATATCCATTTTAACTTTTTTTTGTCAACCATAATTTTGGACTCTTTTGGGCTATTTTAGGGCACCGTTAAGAAATTTTGAGCTCTTTAACAAAAATTTAATTTTTTTGTGGATCACTACGAGTCGAAAACTCGAAATAATCGTTTTCTTTATATTTTATAACAATATTTTTAAAGTTGATTAATTTCAAAAAAGTTTGAATTTGAAATTTTTGAAAATCTTATTTCCTATGGAAAAATAATAATAATTAAATATTAAAAATATTTAAAAAAGAAATTATTGTTTTCGAATAATTTTACAATTAAAAATATTCGTAAATAAATTTAACGGAACATTTTTTTCAATAACATTTTTTCTTTCTTTTCTAAAAATTAAAATATTTTCAGTTTCATTTTTAATTAAACTTTCTAATTGACAAATATAATGTATAAACATTTTTTCCTTTATTTTTAAATAACTTTGAATTTTATTAAAACAATTGAAATTAAGAAATAGAATCAATGCAAATTATTTCCTTACGAAAATTGAGAAGTTTCTACAAAAATATTAAGAAACGGGAAGCGGGTAACGTTTTCGTATGCACAGCATATCGGTTCAACGATTCGTTCTCTTCTGAGTCGCTCCTTCTACTGTGCAAGTATAGCAATAAGTGAGTTATATAGAGGAATTATTTTAATAAATATTTTTGCGTTTCTATTTGCGAGAAATAATGTCTGGAAGACGTGGACGACCGCGAAAGAGAAATGCAGATATTTATTTAGAAGTGTTATTAAAACATAAAAATGACATTGTTCTCGACAAAGGCAGAATATGTGGAAAAAAGTGCGAAATTTGGTCCGTAGTATCAAATGAACTTTTAGAAAAAAAAGTGCTCGTTTCTCAATCGTCATTGTATGGTTACGTGTCGTGCAATATTGACAATGTCAGAAAAAAATTGACATCTGAAGAAGATTTTAAAACCGTCCAGCAAAATATACTTCTGCAAAAGGAACTTGAGAATCAAGAAGCTCAAAGAGACAGCGATGTTTTTAACAATTCGTTACGTTCATGTAAAAAAGTGAAAATTCATTTTAGCAAAAATGAGATGGATTCACTTATTGTTAAAAAGAGTGTTCATAATACACGTGCAAAAATGAAGGAAATAAAAAATGAAGATCGCGAACAGGACGCTTTAAAAGTTGAAAAATGGCAAGAGGAAATGACAAAAAAATTATGGGATAAAGCCCGCGTTAAGTGTGCTTTCAATATTTCGAACCATAAAATTTGTTTAACATCAGGAACAGGAACGTTTAGCGGCAGTTGCAAATGCGGAGCAACAATCGATGGAAAAATTACAGGTAAATTAAAAATATATTTAACAAAAAATAATCTAATAAATAATTAGCAAATTTTTTTAAGTTAAATAAAAAACATTCCGAGTTAAAATTATTACATAAAACAAGAACGCGACAATTTTCGTTATTTCAATGTGACCATCAAATAAACACTGATTAAAATTTGTTTTGGAAGAAGACCATCTGTATTAAATTGATAAGTCTATGAACTCAGGTAAACAACATTTTTTCTCCTCGTTTATGATGCTTAGCTTTATTATTTTTAGGCTCATGAAAAATCCTTTACTTATTTAATACTCTCCACACTTTAGTAAAAAAACTAAAATTATTGAAAACTATCAAAAATTCAAAATTCCGAATTTCTCAAAATTCATTATTTTTTACTTTCTTTTATAGGATTTAGCTTCACTATTTTTGTGCTTTTGGAAAATACTTTACTTATTTAATAGTCTCGACTTTTTAGTAAAAAATGTAAAATTATAGAAAATTATCAAAAATTCAAAAATCCGAATTTCTTTAAATTCAACATTTTTTTCTCTCTTTTATGGCAATTAGCTTTATTATTTTTGTGCTTTAGGAAAATACTTTACTTAGTTAATAGTCTCGACTCTTTGGTAAAAAGTCTAAAATTATAGAAAATTATCAAAAATTTAAAAATCCGAATTTCTTTAAATTCAATAATTTTTCTCTCTTTTATGACATTTAGCTTCACTATTTTTGTGCTTTTGGAAAATACTTTACTTAGTTAATAGTCTCGACTTTTTGGTAAAAAATCTAAAATTATAGAAAATTATCAAAAATTCAAAAATCCGAATTTCTTTAATTTCAATAATTTTTCTCTCTTTTATGACATTTAGCTTTACTATTTTTGTGCTTTTGGAAAATACTTTACTTATTTAATAGTCTCGACTTTTTGGTAAAAAATCTAAAATTATAGAAAATTATCAAAAATTCAAAAATCCGAATTTCTTTAATTTCAACATTTTTTCCTCTCTTTTATGACATTTAGCTTCACTATTTTTGTGCTTTTAGAAAATACTTTACTTATTTAATAGTCTCGACTTTTTAGTAAAAAATGTAAAATAACAGAAAATTATCAAAAATTCAAAAATCCGAATTTCTTTAAATTCAACATTTTTTTCTCTCTTTTATGGAATTTAGCTTCTCTATTTTTGTGCTTTTGAAAAATACTTTACTTATTTAAAAGTCTCGACTTTTTGGCAAAAAATCTAAAATTATAGAAAATTATCAAAAATTCAAAAATCCGAATTTCTTTAATTTCAACATTTTTTTCTCTCTTTTATGACATTTAGCTTCATTATTTTTGTGCTTTTAGAAAATACTTTACTTATTTAAAAGTCTCGACTTTTTGGTAAAAAATCTAAAATTATAGAAAATTATCAAAAATTCAAAAATCCGAATTTCTTTAAATTCAACAATTTTTCTCTCTTTTATGACATTTAGCTTCACTATTTTTGTGCTTTTAGAAAATACTTTACTTATTTAATAGTCTCGACTTTTTAGTAAAAAATGTAAAATTACAGAAAATTATCAAAAATTCAAAAATCCGAATTTCTTTAAATTCAACATTTCTTCCTCTATTTAATGGCAATTAGCTTCATTATTTTTGTGCTTTTAGAAAATACTTTACTTATTTAAAAGTCTCGACTTTTTGGTAAAAAATGTAAAATTACAGAAAATTATCAAAAATTCAAAAATCCGAATTTCTTTAAATTCAACATTTTTTTCTCTCTTTTATGGAATTTAGCTTTATTATTTTTGTGCTTTAGGAAAATACTTTACTTAGTTAATAGTCTCTTAACTTTGGTAAAAAATCTAAAATTATAGAAAATTATCAAAAATTTAAAAATCCGAATTTCTTTAAATTCAATAATTTTTCTCTTTTTTATGACATTTAGCTTCACTATTTTTGTGCTTTTGGAAAATACTTTACTTAGTTAATAGTCTCGACTTTTTGGTAAAAAATCTAAAATTATAGAAAATTATCAAAAATTCAAAAATCCGAATTTCTTTAATTTCAACATTTTTTCCTCTCTTTTATGGCAATTAGCTTCATTATTTTTGTGATTTTAAAAAATACTTTTTTTATTTAAAAGTCTCGACTTTTTAGTAAAAAATGTAAAATTACAGAAAATTATCAAAAATTCAAAAATCCGAATTTCTTTAAATTCAACATTTTTTCCTCTATTTAATGGCAATTAGCTTCATTATTTTTGTGCTTTTAGAAAATACTTTACTTATTTAATAGTCTTGACTATTTGGTAAAAAATCTAAAATTTTAGAAAATTATCAAAAATTCAAAAATCCGAATTTCTTTAAATTCAACATTTTTTTCTCTCTTTTATGAAATTTAGCTTCACTATTTTTGTGCATTTGGAAAATACTTTACTTAGTTAATAGTCTCGACTTTTTGGTAAAAAATCTAAAACTATAGAAAATTATCAAAAATTCAAAAATCCGAATTTCTTTAAATTCAACATTTTTTCCTCTCTTTTATGGAATTTAGCTTCACTATTTTTGTGCTTTAGGAAAATACTTTACTTAGTTAATAGTCTCGACTTTTTAGTAAAAAATGTAAAATAACAGAAAATTATCAAAAATTCAAAAATCCGAATTTCTTTAAATTCAACATTTTTTTCTCTCTTTTATGGAATTTAGCTTCTCTATTTTTGTGCTTTTGAAAAATACTTTACTTATTTAAAAGTCTCGACTTTTTGGCAAAAAATCTAAAATTATAGAAAATTATCAAAAATTCAAAAATCCGAATTTCTTTAATTTCAACATTTTTTTCTCTCTTTTATGACATTTAGCTTCATTATTTTTGTGCTTTTAGAAAATACTTTACTTATTTAAAAGTCTCGACTTTTTGGTAAAAAATCTAAAATTATAGAAAATTATCAAAAATTCAAAAATCCGAATTTCTTTAAATTCAACAATTTTTCTCTCTTTTATGACATTTAGCTTCACTATTTTTGTGCTTTTAGAAAATACTTTACTTATTTAATAGTCTCGACTTTTTAGTAAAAAATGTAAAATTACAGAAAATTATCAAAAATTCAAAAATCCGAATTTCTTTAAATTCAACATTTCTTCCTCTATTTAATGGCAATTAGCTTCATTATTTTTGTGCTTTTAGAAAATACTTTACTTATTTAAAAGTCTCGACTTTTTGGTAAAAAATGTAAAATTACAGAAAATTATCAAAAATTCAAAAATCCGAATTTCTTTAAATTCAACATTTTTTTCTCTCTTTTATGGAATTTAGCTTCACTATTTTTGTGCTTTTGGAAAATACTTTACTTAGTTAATAGTCTCGACTTTTTAGTAAAAAATGTAAAATTACAGAAAATTATCAAAAATTCAAAAATCCGAATTTCTTTAAATTCAACATTTCTTCCTCTATTTAATGGCAATTAGCTTCATTATTTTTGTGCTTTTAGAAAATACTTTACTTATTTAATAGTCTTGACTATTTGGTAAAAAATCTAAAATTTTAGAAAATTATCAAAAATTCAAAAATCCGAATTTCTTTAAATTCAACATTTTTTTCTCTCTTTTATGGAATTTAGCTTCACTATTTTTGTGCTTTTGGAAAATACTTTACTTAGTTAATAGTCTCGACTTTTTGGTAAAAAATCTAAAATTATAGAAAATTATCAAAAATTCAAAAATCCGAATTTCTTTAAATTCAACATTTTTTCCTCTCTTTTATGGCAATTAGCTTCATTATTTTTGTGCTTTTGGAAAATACTTTACTTATTTAATAGTCTCGACTTTTTAGTAAAAAATGTAAAATTACAGAAAATTATCAAAAATTCAAAAATCCGAATTTCTTAAAATTCAACATTTTTTCCTCTCTTTTATGACATTTAGCTTCATTCTTCTTGTGCTTTTGGAAAATACTTTACTTAGTTAATAGTCTCGACTTTTTGGTAAAAAATCTAAAATTATAGAAAATTATCAAAAATTCAAAAATCCGAATTTCTTTAAATTCAACATTTTTTCCTCTCTTTTATGGCATTTAGCTTCACTATTTTTGTGCTTTTAAAAAATACTTTACTTATTTAATAGTCTCGACTTTTTGGTAAAAAATGTAAAATTAAAGAAAATTATCAAAAATTCAAAAAATCCGAATTTCTTTAAATTCAACATTTTTTTTCTCTCTTTTATGGAATTTAGCTTCACTATTGTTATGCTTTTGGAAAATACTTTACTTAGTTAATAGTCTCGACTTTTTGGTAAAAAATCTAAAATTATAGAAAATTATCAAAAATTCAAAAATCCGAATTTCTTTAAATTCAACATTTTTTCCTCTCTTTTATGACATTTAGCTTCATTCTTCTTGTGCTTTTAGAAAATACTTTACTTAGTTAATAGTCTCGACTTTTTGGTAAAAAATCTAAAATTATAGAAAATTATCAAAAATTCAAAAATCCGAATTTCTTTAAATTCAACATTTTTTCCTCTCTTTTATGGCATTTAGCTTCACTATTTTTGTGCTTTTGGAAAATACTTTACTTAGTTAATAGTCTCGACTTTTTGGTAAAAAATCTAAAATTATAGAAAATTATCAAAAATTCAAAAATCCGAATTTCTTTAAATTCAACCATTTTTCTCTCTTTTATGACATTTAGCTTCATTATTTTTGAGATTTTAGAAAATACTTTACTTATTTAAAAGTCTCGACTTTTAGTAAAAAATCTAAAATTATAGAAAATTATCAAAAATTCAAAAATCCGAATTTCTTTAAATTTAACAATTTTTTCTCTCTTTTATGGGATTTAGCTTCATTATTTTTGTGCTTTTAAAAAATACTTTACTTATTTAAAAGTCTCGACTTTTTGGTAAAAAATGTAAAATTAAAGAAAATTATCAAAAATTCAAAAATCCGAATTTCTTTAAATTCAACATTTTTTTCTCTCTTTTATGGGATTTAGCTTCATTATTTTTGTGCTTTTAAAAAATACTTTACTTATTTAAAA